TTTTTTGACTGCATCTGATTCTGAAGCATTGTTCTTGTCCGTCATGCATTTATTTGTACTATTTTTCATGTTTTTATTGTATAATTACATTGTTCTTCATTATATCTAAATGTATAATAAATAAATTCAGACGAGCAGTTTGAGGTTTTCTGCCTTTATTGAACATTACACTGCATTTGGTCCGTTTTGCAACATGATTCAATTAAAATCACAGCGCTATACATACATGCACGCTGGAGACCTTTTACCACATATGGCTGCATCCAGATATTATTTAATAACCCCTGAAGTAATTCATCCAGTAGCTTTTCGCTCCGTGACAAGAAAAGCAGACCACTGTTGTTAGCAGTTAGCACTTAGCACTAAACATTAGTCGGGGAGGGGCTCTGGGAGGAGCTGAGTAAATTTAGTCTCACGTCACACAACAGCACATTCGACTAGGAGCAGGTACAATTCAGATATCTTCAAATATAATCGTGACTAGTCGAAACTGAATTAGAGATATCTCTAATTACCTTTGCGTATGTGTGACGCCCTATTGAACATATCTATGACGTCATTACAGATATCTTAAATGGAGTTTTGACTAGTCATAAAGTATTTGGAGATATCTCTAATCCGATTTCTTACTAGTGCAATTATAATTGCAGATATCTCTAATTGTCATTGTGACTAGTCGAATTATAATTATGACTCGTTAAAATACAATTGTTCCTATCTTAAATTATATTTATGGATAGTCAAAACAAACTTTTAAATGCTAAAACGGCTTGCAATAGACCATAGACTGTGGGCAGACACGACACCGGCAAAAGAGATGACTGGGACGTTGCGTCATCGCCTGTGAACAATTCTATTGGCCGAGAGTCACCAGAAGGCGGGGTTTATCAGCGTTCCGACGTCAGAGTTTGTTTTGAGCATGCGTTGAAATACCACAGTGCCCCGTTAGCTGTGTGAATGTCCGTGTGTTGCTATATAATAGGGAAAAATCGCTCCACTCGTCTCCTGCTCATCATATAAGCCAGTCTAGTCAGAAGACTTTGTCCTGCCGAAGGTGTTTGCTCAGAGAAAGCCGCTGTTTCTGTATTTACCCTCGGTAGTGGTCATGTAGGACACTCAGTGCTGACGAGGTACCGCGACAGAACACAAGGGGAAATTACAGAAGAGGACAACGATTTGTTTCTTCCCGGAAAGGTGAGAAATAACGACTCGGTGTGTTTTATCACACAAGTGGTGTATTGTAATTGTAAATATAAACTTTCTTAATATCAAATAGGCGTAATTATTATAATAATTAATGATGTAAAAATGTCCTAGTCGCTCCCCATCAACACCCCAGGATCAGGATTGCAGTCCCAGAGATGCGATGCTGGCTTGTAACTGGGTTGCTTATTAAAGACGATTCTGTTATATGATCATTTACAGTTTTCGTGTTTGGTTTATGTGTGTTTATAAGACACGATTTTGAAATATGGGTGGCGTTCTGCACTATTGATCTGCCTGTTGGGCCATGCCCATAGAGATGTTGAAACACAGGCTCTTTTTTATAGACCACGTGCTTTCAATCTGTCTGGTTTGAGATGTATTTTCTCATCTTATAATAACTACCAGTGACAGCGAGTTCAACTCTCTTTTACAGGCTGCGCACATGCTTGATGCTTTTCATCCCTTAATTAATGGATAATAATACAAGATTATGTTAAAATGTCATGTTAGATTAAACTAAACGCAACACAGTATCAAGTATATGGTGTTTCTATTAAAAGCAGTGAGACAATTGTTTTTCTTTTATGTATCTGGTATGATGATATGATAGTTTAAATATTAAACATTCTTATCTTAGTTGATTAAATAAAGGTATACTTCTTTTGATTATCTTTGAGAGGTATGTCAAGGTTAGTAATAATGTGATGGAAGAGGTGACAAAGGGTGAAGCATGTGAGGAAGATGTGAGCAGGTTCATGCCGGTTCAATTACTGACCATCATCTGTGACTCATGTGATGCAACCTGGACATTTATTGTTTGTGCCTCATTAATTATCATGAGTGGGTTTGGTAATTGGTGCATGTTTTCCGTTAGTGATTTCGCAACTGTAAATGGCGCACTGTAAAACCCGATAAGTTCAGAATACTCAAAATTGTTGTGGACACCAATTACCTCAAAAAATTTAATTAAGCAACTCAAATTTTTTAAGTTAACATTAATTATAAATAACAATTAAGTCAAACTAAAAAGCTTAAATTTGTTTTTGCTTAATGTTTAAGTGCAGTGTACTTAAAATTATTGTGTATCATACGTAATGTTTTAATTTTAACGCAGTAGTGCTTTATTAAAAACAAATACTAACTCAAAAAATACACTTATGCATAAAAAACACACGCACAACTGTGGCTATATAATTGAGGATTTTTTTTATTCAGCCTTTTTTAAACCGCATGAACGGTGTTCTGAATGTCAAACACTGGAAGATCATCTCATCACAACTGCAGTGCTTGCAGGACTTGTAGTGGTTTCATTGTCCAAAATCAGCTGGAGAGGTGTTTGTGTCAGTGATGTCTGGCTCGCCCAATTCCTCCTGGAATAAGCACAGAGGGTAAAACTTTAACTTCAGAGACTAAAAGTAGACATTTATATTTACTGCCAATAGAGTGGGGGAACTATAACGTCAGAACCCTGAAGAGTAATTCGCCGTGTGTTCCTTCTAGATTTCCCTATGGGGTTTTATAATGGGGTTTTTCAATTAAAATAAAGCCGGTGGTAAGCATAACTTGACGATACTTTTACGTTTTGTTGTACAACGTAAATTACACACATCCATACCCAAAATACAAATTTTGAAGCAGTTATGTTCATTTTTGAAAACGTACGTTTTTAATAAGTAGCTAGATGAGAAGGTTTAGGCTGTGAGTGTGTGCAGTTTATATTGTAGAACAAAACGTAGAAGTATCGTCAAGTTATGTTTACCACAGGCTTTATTTTATTCATAAATTGAAAAACCCCATAAAAAAAAAAAAAAAGAACCCGCGGTGAATTACACTTCCTGGTTCTGACGTCACAGTTCCCCCACTCTATTTCAGATCTATTAATGCACTTAATACTTA